AGGGAGGGATGGCTGGCTGGGGGCTGTGGGGAAGGGAGGGATGGCTGGCTGGGGGCTGTGGGGAAGGGAGGGATGGCTGGCTGGGGGCTGTGGGGAAGGGAGGGATGGCTGGCTGGGGGCTGTGGGGAAGGGAGGGATGGCTGGCTGGGTGCTGTGGGGAAGGGAGGGATGGCTGGTTGGGTGCTGTGGGGAAGGAAGGGATGGCTGGTTGGGTGCTGTGGGGAAGGGAGGGATGGCTGGGTGCTGTGGGGAAGGGAGGGATGGCTGGCTGGGTGCTGTGGGGAAGGGAGGGATGGCTGGCTGGGTGCTGTGGGGAAGGGAGGGATGGCTGGGTGGGTGCTGTCGGGAAGGAAGGGCTGGCTGGCTGGCTGGCTGGGTGCTGTGGGGAAGGCTGCTCTGCTCTCCTGGCTGTGCCCTGAATGTGCCACGTCCCATCCTTTGCCAGGTGTTCTGTCTGGAGAGCTTTCCTTCAGATACTGGCATTTCTGGGCTTGTCTCATTCAGGGCTCTGACCACCTGTCTAGTAGAGCTTCTCCAGTCTCTCCTCTCTATCTGCTATGACTATTCATCTTGTGATCTGGGCTGAGAGCGATTCAAGAAATTCATTGGCAAATCTTTGGCCGTCTGAAGTCTAACATTTGTCATGTGAAATTCAGAAATTGAAGAGATTTGTAAAAAGCATTTCTTCCAAGTTGATCTAGATTTTCAGAGCAGGGACCAAATAATTTTGTGTAACGAGAAGTACTTGTTTTCTTCATAACGCATGTTGATTTCTGATTTGTCTCTGTCTCTCCATGTTTCCTTCACTAGAATGACAGTTCCATGGTGATTGGGCCTTTGTTTTATTTGTTGCTTTATTCTCAGCATGTGGAACAATGCCAAATACCTAATAGATTCTCAGTAAAGATGTCTTGAATAGATGTATTGTTGTGCACTGTATGAATGACCGTGTTTGACCAAAATCATTCAAGCTTTGAAAAATTATGATGTGGGGGGGCTGGAGAGATGGCTCAGTGGTTAAGAGCACTACTTGCAGAGGACTTGGGTTCAATTCCCAGTACCACACAGTGACTATTGTCTGTAACTCCAGTTCCAGGGGATCCGATGCCTTCTTCTGACCTCTGAGGGCATTGCCTGACACAGGTGCACTTACACACATGCAGGCAATACACTCATACACATAAAATATAATAATAAGTATAATTTTTTAAATGATGATGTAGAATTGCCATGTTGCATTTTTATGAAACAGATTCTGGAGTTATATATACAGTTTCTTTGTAAGTTTAAAGATGTAAAGATCTTGTACCCTTGCCTGTATTCATTAAATCATTCATTCTTTGAACGTTAGGAAGCATCTTCCTGTGTTGTCAAGTTCTTGCTAAGGTGTTGAATTCAGCTTACAGTTTTACAGAAGATGGATCATGAAACCAGAACAAGGCAGCGCTTGGTCATTTACCTCATTTCCTGACAGTCAAGAAGCCTTTCCTTCCATACTTTACCACCATCATGGTGCTTCTCTACGTAAAGCTAGAAGTAATATACTGACTTAGATGGTTTCCTGATTAATGTCTGTCTCTCCATATGTTGTAAGTTCTATAAACAGGGATCATGATATAATTTAATCATCAGTTATTAACTCAGTGCTGAATATATAAGGGGTACTCTGACGGGTGAGGGCGTGAGTGATTGGCTGGCGTGCAGTGGAAGCAGCATGTCTAAGCTAGTGACTTAACAGGACCTGTTGTCCTCAATTTTAAGCTGAGGAGGAATCAGTGAAGACCGACCAGGAACTTCTGTGGAGCAGCAGCTCAGACTTTATGCTGAGGCAGTAGAAGTAAAAAGTACCAGCCCACGTGGGTGGGGCCGGGGAGCTGTGGGGAGTGCACACTGCTTTTCAGTATTGTTAGGGACAAACCGGATTGGAAAACGATGGGACAGAGACTGGCTGAGAGGCTTCAGTAAGAAGAATAGATGGTCGTGGCATTACTCAGCTCCTTGGCAGTAGAAGGAAGAAGCTGATGGATTTGAAAGATTGGTAGCAGACAGAAAGGAATTGGGGAGAACCAGGGAGTGAAACGCATTAATTGTGAGTCTGCTTTAGGTAACTAAGAGGACTCCAGAGCCTCTCACAGAGCCTAGAAAGTCAGAGGGAAGAACTAGCTGAGGAGGAGGATGCATGAGATGCCCGTGAAGACCTGTTTGAATTGAGATCGAGCACTACAGATTAGTTATGTGGATGAAAGTCTTTGAAAAATCAATACCTGGAAAAAATAATCAAAACATTAATAGTATTAGGATGTTAGTCATATTTAAATTTTTCCTGTTGAGTTTTTTAAACTTATTAGTGTGTTTTATTTTATGAAAGAAAAATAACAAAAGTGTATTAGCCGAGGAGATGTTAGACTAAACAAGCAGATATGAAACAAAACCTCAGTGGGGCGACAAGCTAAGACCTTCTTACACAAAATGTGCTGTCCCCAGTGAGAAGCTGGGGTTTCTCCTGATGCGAAGACCAGCAAGAAGGCATCAGCTTTTAGTGTGTGTGCTGTGGCCAGCCACCTGGAAACTTAAACTTTTCATGCAAAGGTACAGTAGCGGCGATATCTGCCACGTATTCATCCGTGCGTCCCTGGCCCTCAGCAAAGTGTTTGGTACCGAGATGGCTCAGGTCATAGCTCCTGTTTGAGGTTTGTTAGTAACGCACTGCTTCTGTTTGTGTTAACATCCATTGGAATTGTCACACAAAGACGTCACTTACATCATCTTGTTTTGTAGGTAGACTGGGGTCAACTGGATTATTTAGTGGTTGACATGCCACCAGGAACAGGAGATGTGCAGTTGTCAGTTTCACAGAATATTCCCATTTCAGGTACGTCCTAAAGTAAGCTGTGCTTTCTTTGAGGTGTTGCTGTTGCTATGGATTAAAACAAACTATATGGTAGGCAAATTTTCTATGCCTTAAAAAATTTATAAACTGACCATTAGAGATTGGAAGTATATATTGAACTTTTGAGGTGAATGAGTATATTTTAAAAATAAAAGACACTCTTTTTTTTTTTTTTTTTAAAGTCTTTTTGAGACAGGGTCTCCCTGTAGCCCCAGCTGTCCTGGAACTCACTATGGAGACCAGGCTGGCCTTGAACTCACAGAGATCCTTCTGCCTCTGTCTCCTGAGTGCTGGGATTAAAAGCGTGCGCCACCATGCTTGGCCTTAAAAATAAAAGACACTCTTAAAGGTGGTATTATGAATCAGTTATCTAGAAAAATGGTAACACTTACATGTTTGGGGGTAGAACATGGCTAGTCAATCTAGTTGCTGCTGTCCAGCTCTTAGCAACAGAGTACATGACAAACACCCAGTAAATATTAGTTGACTGAAACTAAGTAAGAGCGAATATTGGGAAAAATTGGCTCCTTGGCAAATACAGTTATAAGAGAGTTTCATATTCTGCCACTTATTTAATTTTAAAGTCAAGAGCAGTAAATAGTTTATTTGGTTAACTATTCAATATTTTGATATAGTGGTGGATCTCTTTCTTATGATTTGGAATTTAAATATCACTAGTTATACTTTTAATATTTTATTTCTTATTTTTATTTTATGTGTATGAATCTATTGCCCACATGTATGTGCACCTGTATCATGCAGTGCCCACAGAGGTCAGAAGAGGGAGGTAGATCCCCTGGAACTGGAGTTACAGATGGTCATTAGCCACCATGGTGCTGGGAAGTGAACGAGGGTCCTCTGCAGGAGCAGCCAGGGCTCTTAACCACTGAAGAATCTCTCCAGCCCCTCATTTTATTCTTTATATTGAGTCTGTTACTAAAGATTTTACCAAGTTTCACTGAAGAAAGAGTTGCAAACGTGCGCACGCGCACACACGCACACACACACACACACACACACACACACACACACAGGAATTCTGGGAAGATAATGGAAATTTTAAATGTCTCTGCAGATGTTTTTACTAATAATCCCTCTCATGCCATTGACTTTTAATTATCAAAATCTACGTGTCTTAACATTTTTTAACTTTTTATTTCATGTATGCATGTTTTACCTGCATGTATGTAGGTGGACCTCATATGTGCAGTGTCCACAGAGGCCAGAAGAGGGCGTTGGATCCTCTGGAACTGGAGTTACAGATGGTTATTAGCTACCATAGTTACAGATGGTTATTAGCTACCATGTGGGTGCTGATAACCGCTGAGCCATCTTTCCACAGTCCCATCTCTCCAGCCCCCAAATCTAGGTTTTTGACAAGATAGAAGTACTATTTGGAAATAGCAGGAGAGCCTCACTGATGGAGGTATTTTAACATCTTACATTTGTACTCTTCATGCAGTGAGGTGTTTTCCGGTAAGGCAGGCTATAAAGTGTGAAATGGTGTAACATCTGACTCATGGCTTGCTGTGTTCAGCCTTGGGTGAAAATAAGCTAATCTCAGCGATTCTCTTGTAAAAATCTATGAAGATGTCATACCTGAGCATTTCTATAAAATGAATATCTAGACAGTGGTCTGTACTGATGTTTACAATGTGGAATAATTTTTCTGAATCCCGAGAGACTACTCTAGACCTCTTTAATTCATACGTTCCAGGGAAAGTATGAAGGCAATCTAGAAGCAGTTTCTTTTAGCTTTCAGAAGTATAGCTCCAAGTGGTCTTTGAAGGACTCCTGTCTTTGTAGAGGCATTCATGTGCTCAGGCTGTGGGGACGTCAGTGTTGACACCGATAGTGAAAAAATACTCCATTTTTTCCCATGGAGCACAGATCAGCTGTATAATTTGGAAAGGTGACAGAGCTGGTAGAACTCGTACCTTGCATACATGAGGTCTTGAGTCCAGCCATCAACAGGAAAGAAAGGAAAGGTGAGGGGGATGAGAGGCAAATGATAACAACACCCTTCTAAAGATTAGGGAAGTTTGGAAAGGGGTATGTGTCTGTTTATTAAAATGTTTAAGAGTTCTTGAGGTTTGGTTTTATCAGGTCAATGCCATCTCATCCAAGCGTATCTAAGAAGATACCAGAACTGAGCAGGCCCAGGATTTAGGTAGGGGAATGGTATCTGCCAAAGAGTTTTTGCTCTAACTAAATCATGACTTTGGTGAGTTCCCTTAATCTGGAACAGCCTGTCAATCATGTTGCCCTTCAAGTTTATTTCAGTGTTATCCGATCTATTGCAAGACATGGGTGCACTTACATGCACACAAAACACTCCTACACATAAAATAAAAATAAATAAATAAAATTTCAGGTATGTGATCTCACCTTATAAAGCTAGTTTCCCTTTTCTTATCACTGACTTTAAGATATTCTGTTCTACTTTTTATTATGTTCTGTATCCCATAAGTTGCATCAGCTCCTTAGACTCAACCCTGTGATTCCTTTTCCTGCTTTTCCCCACTAAACTCCAAAACACACCTTCCACCCCCAGACTCCTGTGTGGCACTTAAACAGCATAGATGTACGGCCTCCGCTACCACCCACCCTGGCCTTCTTGCCTGTGCTTCCTGAGCCTCTGCCTTTACGCACATTAGACCCCCACTCAGCATGACTTTCCCCCGTAGTCAGTTGCATGCCCAAAGCCCAGTTGGGCGTCATTTCTTCCTCTTTGATGCTGATGTAGGTTCAGCTGGACCTCTCCTCCTGCACTCACATGCTCTCCGTTCAGTACCTCATGGCTGTGCTGTCCTCTCCCTGTCCACTGCAGGTGTCCTCCCCAGGTCGCCTCATTCATCTTCGCTTTCCCCCAGAACCAGACTCGCCGCCTTCCTCCTGCTGAGTGCTTGCCTCTGCCTGCTTTACCTTCCCAGCTAAGCAGCTCGCGTGCCAGTGTTTCTGCCTTCTCCTGCTGTCTTGTAGGTGCCTTGGGTAGTGGCTTATGCAGTTCCATTGACAAAGCTAGGCCACCTAGTCATCACCTTTTGTGTGAGAACATTGCTGTCTTCTTACCGTTCTGCAGTCCTGCACGTGTTCTGTGACTACCCACGGCACTTTCCCTGGCTGCTTTTCCTGAGGCATACAGCATACACTATTTTATTTCCTCTCAGAGAGAAAAACAATTTCATTTGCATATTTACTTGTGATATCTTTTTTGCTGTATATAGATAGCATCCTTGTACTCAGTTGATACCTTGTAGTAACACCTGCCTGTGTCTGGGATGGGGGAGGGGCTTGCTATTTGGTTATATGTAGTAACTGTATTAAATTTCTATGACATCACTAACATTCTATGATAAGATAGGAAGTCCTCTTTCTTATAGTGGTGCCTACTAAGTAGCTATGTCACCTTTCCAAGTATGTCCTTAATTATGGACCACCTGTCCATCCCACAGAATTATACAGATAAATAAGATATTAAAAAAACTGTTATCTAAATGTATACTATCTTTTAAAAACTACTTAGATACTTTTTGTTGGGGGATATGGTTTGATACGAAAAGTCCCTACAAAGGCAGGTTCCAGCCAGTAGCTTTGTTGAGAGATGGCTGGGATCATGAGGGCACTGGCTTCATCAGTTGACCAGCCTGTCTTGCCTTTCTATCCCTCGTTCTCTTCCTGGCCACTGTGAGGTGAGCAGCTTTGCTTCTCTCCCACCACGGTGTTCTGCTTCACAGTGGCCCAGAGGTAGCCAAGTCAGGGGACCACAGGCTGAATCCTTTGGTCATGAGTGAAATAAATCCTGCTTTTAGTTGTTTTTCTCAGCTGTTTTGCCACAGTGACAAAAAGCTGATGGACACAGGGTGTTGCTGAAATGTTGTGAATTAGAAAAAGCTTTTGTATCAACCTTGCATTTCTCCAAGCCATGTTGAGAATAAATAAATGGCTTTTGTGCTTGGAAGGAGACGTTATTTTAGAAAATTCATAGGAACAAAAAGATTTTTCTGAATGCTAATTAACATCTTTTTGTATGTGTTCCATTTTGTTGGATGGGGTAGATGACAAGCTTATTATAAGAAGAAATTTCAAAGAAAAAATCATTTTCTTGTTTATGTTAAAGTGTGTAGCAACAACAGATATAAATGTGTTGACAGCAGTGTTACTGAATAATGATATAATCTGAGTTCATGTAGACTAGTAAATCATTACATACTACAAATACAGACCAGAATCACATGTACACGCAGTGATTGCAGGAAGGACAGACGCGGGTTAAGGATGAGCTGTACCATAGTGGTTTCTGATTTGCTCTTGTCTCACTGAACTTGTCAAGAGGAGCAGGCCTTGTCAGTGCTGACTTTTTGTTTCTTACTTTGTTGCTGCCGGCGATGACCGTTTGCTAGGCTTCATTTATTACTATAGTTTGCAAATTATTTGTTGCTGTGCCCGGCATTGGGTGGACTCTGGGGTTTACTTCTGTGTCTTTTTTCCACATGCATGCTGGTGCATGCGTAGGAATTATTGATCATCTAATGGCTTTTCCACAGTAGAAGAAAAAGTAGTATTTTTTTGAGGTATTCTGATTTCCTTGAAGGTTTTGAAAGCATATGTACTGTTATGTCATTATGTTAGAATTTTCTTTCACTCTTGGCATTAACTGAAGTCGTCTGAATGACCATCTTCAAACTATCTTAATTTGATTTTGACTCTTGGAATTAACCAAAGAATTAATACTTCATATTAATTATAGGACATGTTTTCTTTTTCTAAGAACTTGAGAATCTTAGCAACTTAAAGTGATGTATTAGTCAGGGTCCTAGCAAAAAGCAGACGACACACCTCAGTTTAATGAAGAGACTCGTTACAGAGATGTAGGCAGCAGCATTAGGGAAACTCAGAGACAATGAAGTACCCAGGACTAGGGGCAGCAGGAAGTGCTTCCTCCCTCATCGCCTGAAAAGGCAAGAGAGCTGCACTGTGTT